CATTGTTTAGTTTTATGTAGTAATGCTTGTTAATGGATCATTGTTTAGTTTTATGTAGTAATGCTTGTGAATGAAAATTCATCGTTTAGTTTCATGTAGTAATGCTTGTTAATGGATCATTGTTTAGTTTTATGTAGTAATGCTTGTTAATGGATCGTTGTTTAGTTTTATGTAGTAATGCTTGTTAATGGATCATTGTTTAGTTTTCATGCAGTTGTTTTTGTCCATGGATCATTGTTCATTACCTGTTACCTTCCAGCAACGTTTCTTAGCTTACTACTTCGCAGTCTGTGGATATCATTGGATCATTTGTTAAGGCGATCGTCTTGTAATCAAAGGTTCGCGAGTTCAAATCCCCGTTCGCGCTTTAAGGCGTGGGGGCGTTATAATGTGACGGTCATTCCCACTATCCGTTGATAAAATAGTAGCCCAAGAGTTGGCGGTGGTTGGTGTTCACTAGCTGTCTTCCCTCTAGCCTATCACTGCTAAATTAAGGACGGCTAGCGCACATAGCCCTCGTGTAACTTTGTACGAAATTCAACCCAAACCATTTGTTACATTCTGTTTCCTGGCTATCATCCAACACAGCTTGTGAGTGAACATTTTATCGTATTTTGTTTGTAAAAATTGTGCGTCGGCCATTTTCTGTTGCTTGGTGATCACGCAATAACGCTTGTGACATCTAACAATTTCCCACTGTCTTGTTATCAGGGAATAATACTCGTGTTATTGGACCATGTTCTGTTATCTGATTATCATGCAGGGAAGCTTAAAAGTGGATCATTTTTCATTGTTTGGTTGTAAGTGGACCATTTTACAATATTTGGACCTCTTTTATACTGTCCAATTATCATGGAGTAATGTTTTATGCCCTCAAAGTATTAATTGCGATGATATACGCAAAATACAGTCAACACAACTAATTTTTGCTGCAGTATTTGTGTGAATGGATGCAGTGACATACAGCAGAGGACGGCCACCAGTAGTGAACTAGACTTTATGTAATTCGTCCCCTGGTGCAGATGACCCCGTCTTCTGGACACTACAATACATCGAATATATGAGCTGATTTTGAGGATACGGCAAACAACCTCCTAGTAAAACTTCTATTAAATTGTGAAGGAAACCAATAAATTCTCGTTCTTGTCACCTTTACTGAAACCGCCACAGAGTTATAGCGTTGAGATGCTTTTAAATCTCCAAAACACAGCATAGTATAACCGCCATTAAAACTTGAACAGTAGCATTGATAATCCTCCCCTTAAGGCTCAAACATAAAGTTCAACGTCGCCAATCGTTGGCGCGACTAACGTCACTGAAAATCATATAATGAAAACGGAGCTTTGTCTCTGAATAAACAGTTTTTATTGAGAAATACCTGCCCACAAGTGAAGCCTTTTGGGCAAACTATGATAAGTAGCTGTTGTTTTGTTGTCGAACTTGATAGATCACTAAAGTTGTGAAGAAATGATATATTCTGAGTTAAATTGTAAAACTAGTGTTTCAAAATAACACTTTATTTTCAAAGAATTTGTAGCTAAATGATTTTCTACGTGTTTTAATTAACAGAGAAATGCTTTAGAATGTATCCTTTAATGAGTTATTTTATACATATTATTCTAATTTCAGGACGAAGCTGAAAAAGATCAACCTCTCCCCATTGAAGCAGATGTTGGAATTACTCCACTAGAGTTTAAGATTGCCAAAAAAGAGGTAATTTCATAATTGATGAGATGAATAAATAGTTATCTTATATCAACAACATAGCTATAAATGGTGGAACATCAGGCTCTTGGTAACGGTATAAATAGTTATCTTATATCAACAACATAGCTATAAATGGTGGAACATCAGGTTCTTGGTAACAGTACAAATAGTTATCTTATATCAACAACATAGCTATAAATGGTGGAACATCAGGTTCTTGGTAACAGTATAAATAGTTATCTTATATCAACAACATAGCTATAAATGGTGGAACATCAGGTTCTTGGTAACAGTACAAATAGTTATCTAATATCAACAACATAGCTATAAATGGTGGAACATCAGGTTCTTGGTAACAGTACAAATAGTTATCTAATATCAACAACATAGCTATAAATGGTGGAACATCAGGCTCTTGGTAACAGTATAAATTATGAAACATTAATATTATGATAACATTATTAATTATGAAACATTAGTATCATGATAACAATATATATTATGAAGTATCAGTATTATTACAATACTATCAAGTATGAAGTATCAGTATTATTACAATACTATCAAGTATGAAGTATCAGTATTATTACAATACTATCAATTATGAAGTATCAGTATTATTACAACACTATCAATTATGAAGTATCAGTATTATTACAACACCATGAATGACGAACCTTCTGTATCATGGCAATATTTTATTATTGTGTACGATATATCATAATGCAATAATTAAACTGGTAGAGCACGTTATCATATCTCTACTGCTATATTAATAAATCCCTGGTTTTACCATTCTTTTTATGATCATATCATTTTGTAATAAAACATAATTTAACCATAGAGCCTTGCTTATTTTGATTATCATTGTAGTCACTAGTATTGTATTCATTAATGAAACCTTAACGGTGTTTTTATGGTCAGTGTTATTGTAGTAATTGTTACTTTTGTTTTCAGTATCGCTCTTATACTCGTTGGTACTTAAATCACTGTAACAATGATAATAATATTGTTATCATTTTCACCGGAATTACAATCAATGTTACACTGGTAGCAATATAATTCTCATTGTTACCGGTAGTAAAGTCACTATAACAATGGTTGCAGTATTATTGTTATTGCAAACAACATTAGCAGTGTGATCTCCATGGTTAGTAGAAGTGTGTTATAGCAGTTTTAACCATCTATTAGTGGTAGATCAATCAACGTTGAAACTTTATATTTGCTGCCACTTTAAGTATTTGTGGTGTCCGTAGATAAAATTGGAACCAACAGGTAAGTTTCGCCATAACGAGAGGATCAGAAAGACTTGTTGATGATAATAAAATATATACGAGTAGGAAAAGAAAGACTCGCACATTTGTGTAAAACAAAATCTTTATTATACAATGAGGAAAATAATAGTGATGTTTTGATACTGGCTGGCTAATGGAGAAAAGAGAAGGTACCACGCTTCTTCACATAACAAAGACACTTTCAAGTCAGACCGAAGCCCTAGAGTGGTATCCCACAATTCTAGATTACCTATGTAAAATATCACTTTCGTTAGTACATGTTGAAGATGGGGTTGACTCTCTCAGCTGATACTTTTAGAAACCAGTGTATTAGTCCTCCACTTAAATATGGCCAGTATTTTATTCTCCTATAACTAAAAATTTGGCACTGTTACACCTAATCTTAGCTATATTATGTAGTTATAGAATAGTAACATTTCGCCCATTCCTTGCTTGACTATAAACAAAATTTAAATAAAATCAAGTAGCTAATTAATGTAGTTATACTTTCCATTAATCAGCTACTTAGACGACATGCACGGTGGAATGACATTTAGTCGAGGACAAATAAAGTGCTAAAAATCGGGTTTCGATACCCGTGATGGGAAGAGCACAGCTAGTCCATTGTGTAGCTTTATGCTTAACTACAAAGAAACAAACATAAAATAATACAAAAAAATTCAAAAAATGTGAAATAAAATGAACTGAGAATGAACCTGAAAGTCAAAACTCGACTAAATTGTAACATAATGAACCTTAAGAGTAAGAAGAAAAAAAAACTTGTTCAGCTGAAAACACAAACTAAAATATTATTTCAGAACAATAATACAGACCACATAAAATTGAACCAAACGAAATGCACAATTATTTAAAGTCGGACATATATTATAAGACAGACTCATAATGACCAGATGTAAATAAAATACGGGATAATAAGTTGTAATTTATATAACAAACGTGCAGAAGAAGATGGCTAGAATATACATATGTGCAGAATGAAACCAGAACTTGCGATGTGGCATGAAACATTCAATAATTCAACTAAAAAAATATCTTTATATAACATTCGGTTAACAAAATATCAACTATCACAACGTTACGTATTAACTAACCAAAGTATCGTGATATTTGGTGGTAATACCCAATACCCCTGACAATCAATGGCCACATTAGCAAGTATGATTTCTAAGATTAACTTTAAATCTGTACAACACCTAGTCAAACGACGTCGAAGAAATACGAGTGATTAGAGGTGGAAAACAACGGATATTTCGCGTTGTAAACTACAAAATGAAGGTATACATACGTAGTCCAATATAGATGTATCATGGACAACAGCAAAATGTATCTCGCCATCATAGAACATCACGCAGCCTGAATCGTTAAGCCTTCCATGCTAGTGACATTATCTAAGGGTTGCCATCATAGAACATTGTCTAGCTTCAATCGTTAAACTTTCCATGCTAGTGACATTATCTAAGGGTTGCCATCATAGAA